ACACCTCCTGGTACGGTGAACCATGTGGAAAACATACAGTGTATTCAGTACCTTAATGGGGCTTCAATGTCATATTCAGAGCTAAGTGCACCTCTCTTCACAGCTGCTTTTTTGTCACACTATGGTAAATTCAGGTCAAGCAGTTTAAAATGAACTGGTCTTGTTCTGTGTAGATGGACTAGTCAGGGTGTAGTGCATGCTGCACACTGGAGGGACACAGTGGGTCTGTAATTAATATTATCCATTGCACTTGTTTACCCTCCTGGGAAACTGTTCACCCTGTTTTAGTGCTACATTACGCTCAGGCTTGTTTTTGGACCTGCTATCTTCAGCTGACATGTGGGATTCAGTATAATTTTCCCATTGGCACACGTGGAAGCTTTGCGCCAATCTTTCTTGTTTCCTACATCAGATGCTGGCAATCTTTTGCTCACATTTAGCTGATCTACACATTTCCAGAAGACTAATTTTAGTTGGTTTGGGAAGTGCTCGGGTCCTATGTCATATGGCATATAGTCTAGCAATGCGATCAGGCCTACCATGGGTATGTCATACAAGTGCGCATATTATTACGCAACAGCACTGCAAAACTAAATGTGGGTGTTTGGACATCTCGTTTTGTTATGTGGGAAAAAAAAAAAAAAATCAAGACTTGCAAGGTCTGCAAAGTGTCTATGTTTCAAAATATCTTAACTTCTGGTGTTGTTTTTGTGGTCCAAAACTTCATTTGTCACAATCTCCAAATACACCAAGAAAGCATTTTTAGCGTGTTAGTGGTATGGACCTGACATCTTAAACTCAATGCACGCAGTCTGTATTCATTTGAAGTCTTAGTCTGTGTTAATGTTCAGTCATTAGATTTCCTGTTAAAGCCACTGTGTAGATCAGATTTTTGCTGCCATCCAGTGGTGGTATGAACAGATACTGAGGTAATCAGCCATGTGCACTGATACGACACATCCAGCATTGAGCTGAAACCAACATGGATTGCTACCATTTCTCACAAGACTTTTCCACAATCTCAACAATTTATTGCCTCAGTTCTGATCTGTTCTGCACATCTTCTCTGTAGGTGCTGATATTGTTGGCATTAACTGCCACTTTGACCCAGAGACTTGTGTGAAGACTGTGAAACTGATGAAGGAGGGTGTGGAGAAGGCTGGGCTGAAGGCTCACTACATGTCCCAGCCACTGGCCTTTCATACTCCGGACTGCGGCTGCCAGGGATTCATAGACCTGCCGGAATTCCCGTTTGGTCATTACCCTACTTTAAAAAAATATTAATAAAAAATAAAAAATTCTCAATCCACATAAAAAATTTTTTAAGAAATCCTTAAAAATAAACTCCTCTTCCAACAGGTCTGGAGCCAAGGATCCTGACCAGAATGGACATGCATAAATATGCCCGGGAAGCATATAATGCTGGGATTCGCTACATTGGAGGCTGCTGCGGATTTGAACCGTATCACATCCGTGCCTTGGCTGAGGAGCTGGAAGCTGAGCGAGGTTGTCTTCCTGCTGGATCTGAGAAGCATGGCAGCTGGGGTAGTGGCCTGTCATTGCACACCAAGCCTTGGGTTAGAGCTAGGTAGATGTTATTTCAGTTTTCTCAAAGTACCTCAAGATTATTGCCACTGTTTTGTTTTCAGGACAGCTTGCCATTTCTCTTTTTAGGGCCCGCCGTGACTACTGGGAGAAGCTGAAGCCCGCCTCTGGCCGCCCCTTCTGCCCCTCCATGTCCACACCTGATAGCTGGGGAGTCACCAAAGGCCACGCTGACCTGATGCAGCAAAAGGAGGCTACCTCAAAGGAGCAGCTGGAGGCTCTGTTTGACAAGGCCAGCAAAGGCAATTGAGCTCCGGCCTTTGACGAGGAGAAGCAAAGGGGTGGCGTGAGAAGGCATACTCACACATTCCCCAAAGTTTATGTACCAAAAAAGATCGAAATGCTGAAGTTCTTTCTTTTTTAGGACCATTTTTACTCTGAAAGACTGGCATCATATGTTTAACCTTATACTGGCTTTCCAGACTGAGCCATCATAGTGTTCTTATGACCATCACAACTGTTTAAAGGAAAAAAGTTAAATTACTGTATTACAAATGTACAGTTGTTTGTGAAAGCACCCAAGTAATGTCTCAATGATGTGGTCAGCAATAAACGACAAACGGCAACAAAGAAATCAGCACTGGTGGTTTTGTTCCTTGGAAGGGTCATTTAGACTATGTCCACACTAGCCCGGATAGGGGGAAACGCCGTGTCAGGGTGGATGGGAGGCCAAAATTGAGAGAAAACAATGCATTTTCAAACGAAAATGCATTAATATGGACATAGCCTTACCTATAAAAGTCAAACTTCAGGAAATGGTGTGTTGCTTATCACCTAAAATAGGTTTTGTTTTTGTCGCACAGATGCTCAACTGGATTGAGGTCTGAAGAGTTCGGAGGCCCAGTCAATCCTTAAATTAATTGTTGTTCATCCATTCCTAAACCTTTTGGGGGGGGGTTGTATGTATTTTTGTTTGTTTGTTTTTGTGCCCTTTGTGGCAGGATATATTATCCTGCTGAAAGATCCCACAGCCATCAGGGAGTACAATTTCCATAAAAAGGGTGTACATGGTCTGCAAGTAACATCCACGTGGATGGCAGGACCCAAGGTTTCCCAGCAGAACATTACTCAAAGCATCACACTGCCACTGCTGGTTTGCCTTCTTCCCATAGTGCAAATTTAATGTCTGAAGTTGCTATGTTGCAATTAAAGTGCTTTTTCACCCTTTTTGACATGCACATAAATATTTGGATTCAGAGTTTGAAGTAAAATTAAGAAGTATTATCAGTTTGGTTTAACACTTAATAACTTCAGTACAAACCAGCAAAACAGGGACAAAGTGCAAAGTTGGTGCAGGGCTATTTATTTGTTGTTTAAAAATATATATATAATTTATATCATCTTACTTTTCCAAGAGGATAAATGATGCAACCGGTCTCAAAGTGAAAGACCGGTTTTTCTTTTTGTTTACACCTTAACTATGGAAATTAATGAGCAGTAAATAAAGTGAGGTCAAAACAGGGACTGTGGCAGTGTACGAGAGGTGCTATTTTATTGGAAAGAGAACATGCCTTAGTGCACAGGTGTCGAACTCCAGGCCTCGAGGGCCGGTGTCCTGCAGGTTTTAGACATGTCCTTGATCCAACACAGCTGATTTAAATGGCTAAATTGCCTCCTCAACATGTCTTGCAGTTCTCCAGAGGTCTGGTAATAAACTATTCATTTGATTCAGGTGTGTTGACCCAGGGTGAGATCTAAAACCTGCAGGACACCGGCCCTCGAGGCCTGGAGTTCGACATCCCTGCCTTAGTGGGTGAGACCAAATGTGAAACATCGAGTCAATTTAACAGATTATTACTCAGACATCAATGTGCCTATTTCCATATAAGGGAACAATCTACAAAGCTCTGTAGAGCTTATCTGTTTTTAAACCATGGAAATCCAAAGGGAGTTCTGGTTTCCTGTGTTTATTAGGCTGAAGTATTCTTTACGCACACTGACTCAACTGATCCAAATTTTCATGGCAATAATGCATGACCTTCACCTGGTGAACTACATTGAAATGTCTTTTCAATGTGTTTTCACAGAAAAGGCAGAGAATTAAAAAGCAGGAAATGCATTTCTTTTCAGATTACTTTCCCTCCCTCAAATATAATAAAAATAAAAATAATAAAACAACAAAACGTACAGAAAATACAATCAATGTCAATATTTCTACCGTTGATGTATTTTACATTCATATTCACGTTTGAGATTTGCCTCATAGTACTTTGAATCCTCGCACATCTTCCATCTCAAGCTTACTGTCAACAAAGGCTGGCATATTTCTACAAATACTCTGCAGTGACTAACAGAACTGAAGTTTGCACTCAGAGGAAATCAAAAGTTGAAGAAAAGATTCTAAATATAAGTCAAGCACCAGCAAGATTTTGGAAAAGGCCCTTAGTAAACTAACCCACTTGGTTCTACATACAGTTTTGTGTTTTTTTTTTCTAGTAGCGTTAAAAGCACCATAAAGGTCATCTTTGCCCCACTCTACGTTTTTTTTTCTAGTTGCTAGATTGATTTTAAAGTTGCATACGAAAATTAACTTTCTTAGAGAATAAATGGTGCATAAACCTGTTTTGACCCAGTTCGCTTACCGTACGCAGTCTGGCATTAAACACGTTCTGTACGTATTTGCGTCATGGATTTGCCCACGTGCAGATGTTTATGCTCCTCGTGCACGTATGCAAGTGAGGAAAAGAGACAGAGGAATAGAGATAAAAAAAAACAAAAGAGTACAAATTGTAATGAACACTTTTTAAAAATTAACCACGTAAAGTTACTGAATTAAAAAGTAGTTTGCGTGGAACAGTTTTCTGTCTTTGTGTGCCGTTTGGTTTATTAAGCTGTTAAAAGAAACGGACTGTTATGTTGCCTTCAAGGGTTCATGTGGAAAAAGTGTAAGCGTAATAAAAACGTTAAACACTTTAATGTAATGAACAAAACAGTTTAAGGATGTATTATGTACAACTGGACTGTGTTTAAAAATATCCAAAAAATAAAAAGAATTGTGAAAAGAATAAAAGTTTGTGATAGAAAGATACGTCACGCTTAATACATCTGATAAAATATTCTACTTTGCATTGCTTTTTAATGATAAATTGATATATTTCACGTTCGCATGGTATAAAGAGAGACTAGCGGATATAGTTAACCAGCATTAGCATATTGTACATTTTATGCATCATTAAACGTCTTTTAAAATGCATATTATTGGGAGATAAAGAGATATTTTTGTAGTTTTGTAGAGATAAAGAAATATTAGTCAACTAACTAACAATTTGCTCAAAGATCGTTTTGCATGTCAGTACGGTATCGACATTTTCTAGGAGCATTATATTTACCATTTTCATCGTGGCGATGGAATGCAACACCGGAGGGAGGGAGGGGGGTCACCAGTTAAATCCCTCCCCGGACAAACACGCACGCACCTTCTGCTTGTAAACAGAAGCTCACACGTGACATCGAGAGCCGATGCGCGTCGCGCGACGGCATTGTCTGAGAGCGGACAAAGAGCTGCACATTCAGACAGCGCGAGCATCGGGCAGGTGAGCGGCCAGGTGTCATGGCAACGGGCATTAGCTGCCGCAATATGAAGCCGACTTCTCTCCTTCGATTAGACCGCGGTGTCCGAGTGCGTTTGGCTGCTTGAACTTCTTCATGTCGGAATCCCAAATCCGACCATTTGGAGGAGGGACAACGACGTTGGCTGCGCTTTCGGCCGCTCACACGCAACAGACAGCGGGTTAACAAAGCAAGAAAGCCTTTGTGTCATCTCTTAATCTAGCTCGTCGGTTTGTTCGCTGTAGCTCCGCCAAATCTTACTTTATGTTTTTTTTAAACGTGGGGTCTGCTGTCGGTGGCTACGAGTAGCATTTAGCCTCGACATCAGGGAAGATTTTTTTTTTCCTCTGGCTAACGCATATCTAAGTGTCTTTTTTACTGGCTGGATGAGATGTCATTCATCATGGAGGATAACTTGGAGTCCGGATGGGTGTCCGTCCGGCCCAAAGTCTTCGACGAAAAAGAGCGACATAAATTTGTTTTCATTGTGGCCTGGAACGACGTCGAGGGAAAGTTCGCCATAACCTGCCACAACAGAACCGTGCAGAGACGGAGCACTTTACTGGACGTCGACTGTGGCCCAATCACTGGGCTTCCTCCCACTGGTGCCTGCGTGGCTGAAAAACACACAAAAAGTCCCGTCACGGCGAAGAAAGATGGAGTCTGCCAAGTGGGTAAAGTTAGACCGCACTCTGTCCCCAAAGGGAAACCCGCAACAAATGCTAACGCAGACAGGAAGACTTTAAAAGCCGGTAGTTCAAAGTCATATGAGTGTGTAAGTCACACTTTAGGGTCATGGGACGTTGTGACACCCAAGATAACGGATATGGAGATCCTGGAGCCAGTGGATGTCATGCTGTCTCCGGATGATGCTGACCCAGGTGACATCGAGGCCAGTAACCGCGAAGACTTCAGCTGGGCTGGACTGTTCTCCTTCCATGAATTGAGAGCAGCCCACCTCCAACTATGCGCCGTCAACTCGGACCTAGAGCCTTGTTTGCCCTCTTTCCCGGAGGAGCAGTCCGGCGTGTGGACTGTCCTTTTCGGTCTGCCCGGGATGTCACAGCGGGAGACGGACGCCCTGTGCTATCAGTTGCAGGTGTACCTGGGTCATGCCTTGGACACCTGCGGCTGGAAGATCCTCTCACAGGTGCTTTTCTCAGAGAGCGACGACACTGAGGAGTACTACGAGAGTCTGAGTGAGCTGAGGCAGAAAGGCTATGAAGATGCTCTGGAGAGGGCCAAAAGACGCATGCAAGAGGTGAAGTAACTTATTCAGTTGTCATGAAGTCTGACTTGCTTTTAAATAAAAGCAGGGAATCAAGCTTTTTAGTACTTGATGATGTGAGATCTGATAAGTACACTCTTAATTGCAGCCTGACATTACATGGAAAGGCAGTTTGTTT